AGAGCACGAGAGGGAAGAGGGTCAGAGGGAGAAGCAGACTCCCCGCCGAGCAGGGAGCCCGATGCGGGACTCGATCCCAGGACTCCAGGACCACGACCCGAGCCGAAGGCAGTCGCCCAACCGAGCCACACAGGCGCCCCGATGCCTTGATCTTAACATGAATCCGAAGTGTATTTTTTTCAAAGCTATGCTGCCATGACAACCAATCTGATAGAAAAGTGGAGAAAAAGTTTCAAATATCGGCTCTTTTGAGAATACAACAAAAGTTCCCAGTAGCTGCCTAAGTGTTTTCAGGGATGAGGGAGATTTAAATATTCAAATGCATATAGCCCCTAAGTTTTCAAATGCTTCTATTAATACGGTATAAAGCCACAACTCAGGGCCACCGGGTACGAATTGGAACTTGGTGGCGGGGGGAACCCCCGAGCGTGTAGCTCTCCTCCCGCACACACATGAATTCAGCGAAGGCAAAGTGATGAAAAATCCCTAGGTCCCCTTCCTGGCTGTGGGACCCCAGTAACTTTCCAGATTCCTCTCTTCTCTTGGCAGCCCTGCCTGGACTCCAGGCTGCAGAATGTCTGAGGAGCTGCTTTGGCAGAAAATACATAAAGGCATTCAGGTGCAAATTCAGCTGGATTTTTCTCCTCGTGTCCAAGGGGACCCAATCACATCCTTTAAAACCGTATTAGGGAAAGAACAGTTTACGAACTGCTTTTGGGGAGGGCCACTTAATTTTCTGCTGTTCTCACCCTTCCCCTCGACCAAACACTCAAACCACATCAATTATTCCTTCTTAGAGTGGCACAAAACAAAACATAACAAACAGCCCCTGGTGAATAAGCCCAACAGTCAGGCTCACTTTGTATCCTAGATCAGGGGTGGGCAAACTTTTGCTGTAAGGGGCCAGAGGGTCTAGTGTTTTAGGGGCCCCTACTCAACTTTTCTGCTACGACTTAGTTCTGCTGTTGTAGAGCAGGAGTAGTTATGAACTAGGATACAGAAGCAAATGCGTGTGGCTGCGTTCCCACACAACTTACAGAAAGCCGCAGTGGGCATGCTTGGTCTCAGGGCCATAGTCTGTCCGTCCCCGTTGTAGATAGCAGCCACGGACGGTGCCTCTCCCGAAAACTGCCCAGTGCTTCCCGTGGCGCTAGCCACGTTCATGCCTACTTACACAAGATTTCATTCTCTGAGAGCAGAGGCGTGGCTGTGGAAGCAGCGGCCCGGGGGACTTGAGGAGGCAACGTTTATCCACAGCTGCAAATCAGCATGATCAGAGATGGACAGGAGCCTGGAAGGGCCTGTTTCTGTATCATTAGCAAACCTGAGCGTGCAGCTGTGCCTGGCTTTTGCTAATCCTGGAGCGGCAATCAGGAGCTGAGGATAATGGTCATTCTGGTGCTGGGGTGGCAGGTGCGGAGGCAGGGAAAGGTAATAAATTATTGGCAACCTGGTGCCTCTGCAGCCTGAAAGGGTCCACGTGGCTTCCCAAGGCACTGAAAACAAGTCAGTACTCAGGAATTCACTGCTCAAGTAATTGGGCTTAGAAACTCGGAGGTAAATTTGCTCAGCACGTGGCTAAACACCCCCAAACCAAAAGCAAATGTGGAACAGTTGTGAGAATAGCAACAGCCAAGAATCACAGAGTTTCCGACAGGTAGAGGAATTCTTGCCAATCATCTTCGCCAGCCCTTTCATATTACCGGTCAGGAAAACGAGGCCCAAAGGTGGGGGAGGGGTAACCTGCCCAGCTAGTCTGTGGGGAAATCACCAGATCTCAGCCACTTTGACTCCGACTTTGCTATTTTCCCTGAAGGCATCTGAACTTAAAGGGGGTTCCCTGACCATATCAACACTCATGTCATGAGGTTATGACAGCTACGTACCTGGTTACCCTAGAGACAGGATTTATGTTGGGATATAAATGATGCCAGAGAACATGTGAAGGTTACTGAGGGGGAGCAATGCATCTCCTCACTGGTTTAATGTAGATAACAAAAACCGCACAGGATAAAGCATTAAATGGCCGTCTTCCCACGAATATAAGTGCTGGTCTCTCATGTTGTATGATAACATGGCAAGAGCGGACTGGGAGGTTCTCAAGTCCCAGTTGGCGCTGACCTGTTTCTGTCCTAACAAATCGAAAGCAAACGTGACCCTCGCATCTTTTGTGTCTGTGACATACAGGACCCCTCGGGCGATGAAGGCGTTGCCAGCCTTGGCTTTGGGGTACGTGGTATTGATGTGCCGCCGCACAGAGAATGTCCTCTCATCCAGCTGGGCGACGAGAATGCTCGAGCCATCCACACTTGAAGCGTAGATAATCCAAAGGCCCTTCTCATCCACAGCTAAATTGAAGTAAGTCTTGGAATTTGCAAAGAGGTATTTTCGATCAAAATACAGGGCATTTTCAAGCTTCAGAGTTTGGGATGTTTCTTTGCCAAAATCAAATCTGAAATGTGTAAAAAGGCAGGTATGAGTCAGCATTTTTGTGGACAGTGGTGGCTTTGTTTGTGGCTATGCTCTATTAAACTGGGCGGGGCCTGGGACTCTGCATTTCTAAGTTTCAAGTCATGCCCGTTCTACAGGTCTACCCACAATGCTCTGTGCACCAAGGATGTCAAGGATGGTGACCCCATCTGAGTGTCCCCCTGTGAGCCACGTGACCCCAGGAACATTCCTCACCCTCATGACTCCTCCGGGGTTTGCTAACCTCCTGAAATGCCCTCTCTAAGATTCTTAGACCTGCAGGGGGCCTTAAAAAATGAGCTAGTCTAGTCTTTTCATTTTACAAATGAGAATGGAGAAGTGACTGGCCCAGGAACATAAGTAGCCAGAGTTTGAATTTAAGTTTTCTAACTGCATGTTTGGGGGTTCTTCCTCTACCCGCTGCTGGAGTTTTTAAGACAAACATGTCACAGTGGTCTAAATGAAGCAGGAAGTCGGCAGCTGAGAAGAGATGATGTAGCCAAGTCATGGCCCTGAAGTCAGTTTTCTCATCAGGAAAGTGATTGGATAACTTGAGCTACAGCATGGAGTCCCTTGCCCTCGGCTCCGGGAGGCTGTCTGATTTGGCAGACTCCACACCCAGACCAGATCAGAAAAGTTGATTGTGATTCAAAAGTTACCTAACTCCAGGAATGAAAATTCAGGAACATTAGGCTAAAAGAAAAGAAGAACACAAGAGGGTGCCATTGAGCAGCAGAAGAAATGGGGACAGTGGGGCCGTGGCTGTGCACTGGAGCCTCACAAGCTGGAAGCCTTTTAGGAGACCCTGAAGTAAGTGTGAAAAAAAGCCAGAGGCGAGTGAGGGCTTGAGAAGAGCCTGCCTGCCCAGCTCAGCTCATGGGCTTCTCTGTCCTCCGAATGCCTGAAGGTCAGGACTGCCATTGCTCTGGTATTGGTGCCTGGCGGCTGTTTCTTTTCTTTCTTTCTTTTTTTTTTAAAGATTTTTTTATTTATTTTGAGAGAGAGAGAGAGAGCACATGAGAGGGGGGAGGGCCAGAGGGAGAAGCAGGTTTCTCGCTGAGCGGGGAGCCTGATGCGGGACTCGATCCTGGGACTCCAGGATCATGACCTGAGCCGAAGGCAGTCGCTTAACCAACTGAGCCACCCAGGCGCCGTGGCGGCTGTGTTTCTTGAAGGGGCTCGTCTCTCGCAGGAGAAACAGGGTCCAATTCCAGCCTGCCCCCCAACCCCCTACTTGTGGCTGGTGGAAAACAGGGCTGCAGGACAGACCTAAGGAGCGCGTCACCCGTGCTAAGCTTCATTAGAAGCCACTCTTTCTTAGAGTGGCCAATCCTCTTTCTGGGACTCATGCACCCCAGAACTCCCTCCCACCCTCATCCCTCTGTAAACACAGCCCGGGGGCAATAGGGAGCTGCAGTATTACATGAGGAGAAAGGGCACAGGAAGGAGTGTGTCTGGGGAGTTCTGGCTTCTAAACAGAGTGGGTTGGTTGCTGTTTTCTGTTAGCATGAGACTGTCCAAATGAGGTAGCCAGGGACATGTTGAAATGATGGGGGAGCTGGGAGAGGGGAAAGAGAGGCCAAGGGGGGATGATTCCAGCCACAGCTGACGTGTGTCCCGTCCCCAGCCTAACCCACAGTCCAATGCCAGCAAGGTTGTTGTGTCTGGGCCTCATCGGGGAAGGGGGTGGAGGGTGAGAGAAGAGGGACCCAGTTTTCCTGCAGGCCCTATCTCTTGTTTTGAATGACTCGGACCATGGCTTTCATAATACTGGCATTATTTCAGATAGGGCTGCTGCCGGAGGGCTGCAGAGGCTCTGGTCCATCTCCTCACTCTTACTTGAGGACCTGCAGACCACGGGAGGTGGTGTCTTGTCCAAGGCCATGGAGTAAGTAGGCAAAGTTGGAACCTGAGGTCCCTGCTTTCTTGATTTGCCCAAGATGACCTGTTTCTGCCTCTAAAGCCCAGAACTTGGTATCTTCTTAAGCCACGAAGACAGAATTTTAGCAATTCTTTTGGGGAGCCAGGAAGACATGGCTCAGTCTACCCAGGTGGCCACCTCCCTCCCCCTTGGGAGAGCAAAGAGGAAGAGAGGTGGCCTGGCCAGGGCTCCATCAGGACGACAGATCAATCTGAACACAAAGGCACCTGACTTTGGGGCGCCTGGGTGGCTCAGACGGTAAGGTGTCTGCCTTTGGCTCGGGTCATGATCCCCGGGTCCTGGGATCGAGCCCCGCATCGGGCTCCCCGCTCAGCGGGAAGCCTGCCTCTCCCTCTCCCTCTCCCTCTGCCTCTCTCCCTGCTCATGATCTCTCTCTCTCTCTCTGTATCTCTGTGTCTCAAATGAATAAATAAAATCTTTACAAAAAAAAGAAACAAAGGCACCTGACTTTGCACTGGGTTCAGTCTTCAGTCTTCAATGATCTGAGCTGTGAGGTGGAATTCTTCACACCTCAAGTTCTTCAGAATACAACTGACTTCGGGGGGTGACACCTTCCTGACGGGAGCGCTAGGTTCCACCTGCCTCTTTTTTCAAAGGATAAGAAAGTGGCAACTCTGATCACTCCAGATCTACTTCTCTCTGGCTCTAACCTTACTCCTGGGGTCCCCACCAGCAATATGGCAGACCCCAGGCCACGGCTGGGTCATGTGGCTCACTCCCTGTGTCCTGTGGTTCATTCAGCCAGCAAGCCCTGACTGGCCCCTGTGTGCCAGGCTCTGGGGACAGAAAGATCCCTACCCCTAAGTAGCTGTCAGCTATCTGAAACACTATACGGGTGCTGTCTGGGACGCATGAGGAGGGCAGCAGCAGCCCAAGGGACTCACCTCACTATGGTGTTGGAGCCTCCTTTGTGGTAGTAGAGAGAGTTGTTGTGAACGGCATGCCCACAGCCATGGAAATAATACGGCAGGTGCACGAGTGTGTAACTGCCATTCAGCAGTGAGGGCTGGTCTTTGAATTCCTTCACCCTGATGCCTGCAGGGGAGAAGCCAGGGACAGGCATGGGGGTGAGTCAGGGGAGGTCAAAGGACGGAAGTTGAGAGTGAGGGGTCTTGCAAGGGCCCGCGTCCAGGTTGGAGTCTCAGACTCCCAGACTCAAAGGCCAGTTCTCTTCTCTGGATTCCTGAACCGACCTTCCAAGGTAGAAGCCACAGAGTTGGTTTTGCTCCTCCCAGCACAACTGCATCGCTCCCTCCCAGACCACTCTAGACCGTTCATAAAATCTTCTATCAGACTGACAGAGGCCTGTACCGGGAACAGTGAATACTTGGCCCTCATGCAGTCCCCTTTCCCTGCTCCTGCCACTGCTAACTGAGCGGTCCTCCTTCCTTCTGAGCCACAGCGTCCTTCTCAGCTGGTAACCTGGGCAGTCACCGAGCCCTGAGGAAATGAGGCAGTGTCTCAGCTATCGCTCTGACCAGTGAGTATGGCCAGATCCCTTCTGGAACGAGGCTACTGCTCCCCCCACTGGGAACCCCTGACCAGTCCGTCTGGGGCCGCACAAGCGGAGTCATGCTTGGAGGCAGTATGCCTGCAAGGGGGCACCTCACCTTCTCCCCTGGGCTCTCTGTCCAACAAAGCTTGAAGAAAGATGGACAGCGCACAAGAATTTGTCTCCAGCATTTCTTCCACAGTATGGTTTTGGGCTTTATAATGCTGTCATCATAATGCTATTTGTTTCTTTCTGGGTACTCTGCCCAAAACTGGATAAGCTATATTGGGAGCACCCTGGTCCCGCCCCGGGGACATGACCTGCAAGGTTTGTCCCCTCTGGGCTCAACTGAGAAAAGTGTGCTGCCTGCTCATTTGTGCTTTGGAAACCAAAGAGCAGTTGCGTGACGCCAGTCAGCGGGGGTTTCAGACACACAGACAGAGAATGAGCCCGAAGGCAGGCACCCGACGGAGGGCACAAGCCCCACGCAGATCTGCCTCCTTGCCAAGGGAAGGTACCTGAGAAATGTTCCGTCACCCAGATCCGCTCATCACTCTTGTTCACAGACTCTCTTATCCACGTCCCAAATGTCTCTCTAACTTTCAGTACTTGTGTTGGACTTCCAACAGAAGCGATCACGGATTCTACCGAAGGAAGAGGAAGGAAAATCCCTCATCTACCAGCTATGGCTTTAAGGCGTCCAATTTCTGAATTTCAAAACAAGACGCTTTGCTTCATGTACCTGCGAGTGGAGAATGGTGATCCCCGACCTTCTCATCAGCTTTTCCAACCAACGTGCCATCGTTCGGTGTAGCGCATGTCTCACCTACAACAGCGATGACAGTCATCAGAAGAAACGCAGGTGGCACAGTGGGACGCGTGTAACTTTACAACTGGTGCTTTCCCCACTTCCCCCCAGGCTCTAGTCCTACAAGCATCCCTTACAATAGGCCCAGCACGGTTTTTAGTTGCTTGCTTTTAAGCAACAAGTCAAATACTTTCAATTCCCCCCAACCCCACGCCACCCCCACCCTCCACTTGGGGAGTTCCCAACAAGCTTTCCATAATCACAGTTGCTAAAATAATGCAATCCCAAGAGGAGGTCAGTCAAAGGGGAAAAGTGGCCTGTTCAAGCCTTCAGCATTGTGGGGTGGGGGGCATGGGGAGCCGTACTGACACTTTCCTGGCCCCCCTGGCCGGGTGGTACCACTATCATGGATTGTATCTTCCTGGAAGGATCTACACTTTCAGGGAAGCTGACGGGGCCTCATAACAGGGTGGCCCCTTTATCTTGACTTCCTGGACTGCAAAGGGAGGAACCACAGAGGAAGAAGGAGCCCAGAGATGTTTGAGCTCCTCTCCACCATCTCCCACCCGTGTTGGCTTTAAGGTCTATGGGACATGGGTCCTGGAGAGGCGCCTGATTCACAGTTGGTGTGAGGCTATACCTGAGCTAGAAGTCATCCTACCTGGGTTGTAATTGTTTCCCTCAACAGACGGACTTAATTCAGACCTTTGGTGAAGAGGTGTCTTGGGTTGGCAGAAGCAGGACAGAGGGGAGGAAGGTGGCCAGTGTGAAGACACAAAGAATGGACTGGCTGGGGAGAAGGACCTGGTCTGGGGCAAATCAAGCTTTCTGGAGTTCAGCCCACTTGCCTAGACCAATTCTGAGGGGTTCAAATCACCTGTCAGTTAGGTGTTAGGGACACCTCCATTGTCCCAGAATAATCTCACAGAATAATCTATCAGTAAAATAAAGGGCAGGACCCCTGTACTCTATGAGCCAGTGTTTCCCAGAAGTCCTCTTGTCCCCTGATGAGAGCAGTCTTGGGGACAGTGTCATTACTCCCCCACACGCAGTCCTGCTGCCTTGGAGTTTCATCTGCAGTTTCTGTTCAGGAACGTGGGTTTTGCCAGGAAAGGGATGGAGAGACCCTCCGGTTCTTAGTCTGAAGAAAAGGCTCTCATTAATTTGTGTTGTACCAACCTCCTTCTAAAGCTGTGGGGGCAGAGGGGGCTTAAAGAAATGGAATTGGGAGGCGAGAAGGCCAAGTTCAGATGCAGGATGCCTGGCAACCGAGGACTCATTTCTAGGAGGCAGAGTGGAAGATTACGGCCTCTCATTTAAAGCAGTTTTCACAACACTGAGGCCCAGCCCCTGCTGACCAGCCTCTTAGTAGGCAGGCGAGGCCGGGGCAGGCACCTCTCCAAGCACCCGTGTCCTGGCTGACACAGCCTATGGCAAACTGAGACTCTGCAAATGCTGAGGTCAGATTCCCCCCCTTCTCCCAGGGAAGGTTCCCGCTCAGCTCGTTCTCCAAGGGCAGCTGAACAAAGAGCTGCCGCTAATGGAGGGAGTGGTGCTGAACGCCAGTGAAGGGGCAGGGTGCTAACTGCTGGGCAGAATTATAATCAGGCTCCACTGACTGGGGGGTGGGGTGGGGTGACATCTTTGGAAGCACAGATTCACCTACTCTGACGGCTGAGTGTGCCCCCAAATGTCTTCCCGAAAGAAGAGGGCACCTAACAAAACGAAAGACCAATTAGGGAAGTGGCAGTGAGATCCCCAGAAAGTGTGAAAGAAACTCCAGGCAGGATCCTCCCCCTCTCTGCTTCCCACTGAAGTCATGGTATCAAGTCGTGCCTTCTCCTGGCCTCAGCAGGTGAGTGGGTCCTAGGTCACCTCTCTGGGGAGAAGTTCTAGCCGTACCTCAGAAGTATTTCTCATTAATATGGCCCTTCATTTGTAATTAGCTTTCAGTCCCATGGCCACCTCTGTCACAGATTGGCCCACAAACAAGTCCTCTTGGCCTTCCAGAGATCAGGTGTCCCTTGCCCTTGGTTGGCTTAGTCTCAAGGTGTGAATTTCATCTCTGAAAGGAAGATGCTCTAAGAGCAGAGCTTTAGAGCCAGGCAGACGTGAATCCCAGCTCTGTCACTTCCTAACTGAGTGACCTTGGGCAAGCTATAGAGCTCCTTGGTGTTTCAGTTTGGGATCTGTAAGTTGGTGGCAATACCGATTCCCATGTCGTGGCACTGCTGTGAGCATCCAACGAACTAAGCACTTAGCACTGTGTCCCGCATGTGGTCAGCACGCAAAGCGTGGTGGTGGTGAGGGCAGAACCATAGTACTGTGGGGAGGTTACCAAGCCAACCCCCCCCCTCGTCTTCCCAGCATTAGCCAAGCCCTTCATGCTCCCAGAGTGAATGACTTAGCCTTTGAGACTGTTTCAGGGGAGAGGGATGGTGGTTTGGCAAGGAAGAGGAATAGTCTGGGGATAAATTGAGAGGAGGGTGAGGAGGAGAGGGTATGGGAGGCCCAATTCTAAACCTGCTGTAAGTTCTCACCCCCATGGCAGAGCGCCCAAGCAGCCCAACGGCCTGGTGCAAGGGAGAACTCTCGGTTTAGGCAAAATCTCCTCCCTCTGTTTAAGAAATCTGGTTGCAAAGCCTGGGTGAAGCCTGAGAGTTTGGGATCATTAGCCAAAGAGGTAGGATCCCTGGGGCAGGGGCTGATGACCTGAACACTGGCCATTGAACATGTTTTGCTGCCGAGGGCCTTTAGATCTTCTGCTTCCAGGGGGTCCTGGGGGACCTGGAGGGCCCGGAGGTCCAGGGGGGCCAGGCGGGCCTTGGTCACCTTTGGCACCTGGAGAGAGAGAAGGGGGGTGGAGTGAGAGATTGATTCAAGAGCCATAAACAGAGATGGGTTTCTCCCAGGGGAAAGGAGAATGAGCAGCTCCAGGGAGGACGGCTGAGCCCCACTTCCCAGACATAATTGTGTTCTAGCACTCGTCCATGCGAAGTTGAGGATGCACCCATAGCAGACGTTGAGTTCCAACCCTGTGCCAGGAACTGTGCTAAGAATTTTACAAATCTCCTACCCATTGTTCTTCCCAACCATTCTGTGAGATGGTATTAGTAGCCCCTCAGTGACCTGAGTCTTGGGGAAGTTCAGTGCTTTGCCCAAGGTCACCACTGGGAACAAGGCTGGAACTCAACCTCAGGTGTGTCTCATGACAAAGCTCATGCTCATTTCACTGGCCATGTTGACGGATCTCAACCCTGACTACTTATTTGAGTACCTAAGGAGCTCTAATACAATTCTAGTGCTGGGACCCCACACAGAACAATTAGGTCAAAATGGTGGGGAGACTGGTCGTCTGTATTTTTGAAAGCCTCCTCATACGCTGCCAGGTAGGAGAAGCACCGCTCTGTGTGGTAGAAGATTTCAGGGGAGCCGGCCCAGCCTATGACCTTGGGCAGGCAGCTTAACCCTCTGATCCTGTTTCTTCACTTCCAAACTGAGTCTCATCCACCCTGTCTTGCCCTGGAAGAATCCACTGAGGTCACTGGCGTGAGTGCTCTAACTTTAGATGGCCAGTGTGCATGGGTACAGTCCTTTCCATGTGCTATTGTCTGGAGCATTCACAAGGATGCCATGAGGCTAGGCCATTTAGCCCTTTGGTTCTACCCTCCTGTCCTGAGCTGACTGGTGATCTCAGGCCTTATTAGTTGCCTCTTCCCAGCCAGACCAAATAAGCCTTTCCAGTCTCTCTTGAATGGGTAAGCCGGGGTCACAGAGGCCAGAGGCAAGTCCAAGCCCACTCTGAAAGGGGCAGAGATCTATAGGCAGGGCATATATGATCCACCCTCATATGCCTTGTTTGCTCTCTGGCCTAGGGACACTCAGCTCTGCCTGCTCTCTGGAATTGGGGTACACTCAGGGATGTTGCTTTCCTGAATGGTTTGTCAACACCCCTCACCTGTTCGGTAGCATAGGGGAGTGCGGTATTTGGGATGTGTAGATTCCTATATAACTGAAGTATAACATGGTCTCATATTTTCAAAGTATATTCACCTATATTTGATGCTGTCAAAAGACTTCTTAAATTTTATGTATTTTGCATAGCAACCTCCCTGTTTCAGAAACAAAGCATGCTAAACATAATTTGAGCTTTGGTCTTAGCACAGTACCTGGCAAACAGTAGGTGCTCAACACATTTTGCGTGGCTAGATGGGCGACTGCTTCAGGGTCATTGTTCTTTTTTTTTTTTTTTAAGATTTTTTTGTTAATTTTTATTTGACAGAGAGAGAGACAGCGAGAGAGGGAACACAAGCAGAAGGAGTGGGAGAGGGAGAAGCAGGCTTCCCGCCGAGCAGGGAGCCCGATGTGGGGCTTGATCCCAGGACTCTGGGATCATGACCTGAGCTGAAGGCAGACGCTTAATGACTGAGCCACCCAGGCGCCCCTAGGGTCATTGTTCTTGACCATTTATCATCCTAGCTTCTTCAGGACAGATGTCCTGTCTCACTCACTTTCATCTTCATATTCCCAGCTACTAGCAAAGTTGCTAATTCATAAATGGTGTTCTTTGACATTCAAAAATATTTATTGAATACATAAGGATAGTTATATTTTTATGATATGAGTGGTCTCTGAAGTACTGTGCTTATAAAATTCTTTTGCGTCCTCCTCGTCCATGACCATCAGCTGTCACCTACTCTTTCTACCATGTCTTTCTGTGGTTTTGCTATCTCTACACCCCCCGGCCCCTCCCAGGTGCCAACTGTCTGCTCTGAGCCTGGGCTGGAAACCAGAAAAAGGAGATCAGCTACCATGTCTGCTCCAATTCTATGTCAAAAGGCTTAGAAAAAAGATCTGAAGATGACCCTACTTGGACCGTGAAGAAAATGTCTGAGCTTTCTGTCAGTTGTCCTCTGAAGTATCTTAAATTGCTTGCTTACTTGTCTTGTTCTAGATTGTGCTAGACTTAATAGATATTTGGAAAAAGGAAGTTCCCTTCATCTTCATTCAATCTAACCATGATGTTTGGACTGGAATTATCTAAACTACTTATGCTTACATCTGAGATTTGGTCTCACCAACATTGTGATGACATACACGGTTTTCTCCTTTTTGAAAACACAGAACCCTAAAACATGCTGCAGAGCAGATGGGCACATAAAGCAGATAAGGAGAGAAGACCCAAGCTGCTTTTGTCCTAAAAACCAGGCCAGTTTCTGGGCCCAAGTGCCAGCCACTTACCTGTGGGGAGCACATCATTGGACACCTCTCCTTTGTCTCCTTTGTCACCCTTTGGCCCTGCTGGGCCCTCATTTCCAGTCAAGCCCAGCTCACCAGGGTCTCCCTTCTCCCCTGGGGTTCCTGTGGCTCCAGGCAGCCCTGAGGGGAGGAAAATGATTTATTAGCCTGTAGTACAAGAAATTCTGGTACACCACTTTGTAATATTGTACACTGTACTTTTAGGGTGAAGGAGCTTCAACAACCAAACACCTAAGACTTTGTTGCTGACATTTTAGGTCAACAGCATGATATAAACTCATTCAAGACTAGTATTTCCGGGTGGCTCTTGTGAATATTTTAGGGACCTTTGGCTGGGTCAACAGGTTGGAGAGGAGTGAACCAGAAAAGGGGCAATTGCAGCAACAGCGGAAGGAAGGTAAGGCCTGACCCGAAGTTTGCCACGCAGGAAGGACGGAGCATGCAGAGGGGTCTGTGTGGTGCCCGGAAGGGTGGGTGTTGTCCCCTGCCTTCTTGGTTTCTTCCTCACAACATACTGGACCGGTAGGCTGCTCGGTCATCCTTACTCTCATTGTAGAGAAGCTGGAGTTCGGGCTTACCATGGTCATCAATGAGGCCACTAGGTGAGCAGCAGAGATCTGATTCTGTGACATTCCAGTGCAAAATGCTTTTCATCAAAAGAGCAAAATGGGTAAAGTTACTCTAGCATAAGCGTTAAGAGGGATGCTGATAGTGTGGATAAAATGCAGTAGGTGGACTGTCTGCCTCTGTTCCCGGGGAGCCATAACTCCAGGAACTGCAGACCCGCCCCTGTCAGCTAGACATGGGTAAGAGTCTAGGCAATGGCCCCTCTCAGCATGCATTATGGACCACACAGCATTCTAATCCCCAGGAGGAAGGAAGCAAACAAGGTGCATGATATGACTGCCCTGGTCACTGCTGGCAGGTAGTTTCCAGACACAAGCAGAAGGAGTGGTGCCCAAATAGAGCCTCGCCATTTCACTGAGGTGAGGAGACCAAAGCCGGAGTCTGGGGAGGTAGAGGTGGCTAGGGCTCATGAGGCAGAGGAGGTGGTTGTGCAGACAGAGCTCTGGAGAACTTCAGAGGGGTCTCCTTGGGTCTTTGGCTAAGTAATGACCTGCAGGGTGAAACTACGAGGCAGGGCAAGAACAAACAGGAAGTTCACTATACAACTCTCAGTGCTTGCCCAGGGAAAGGGCTTCATTCCCACCAGGCAAAGCAGAGAGATCTCAGAAAATGACGCGATATTTGGTAAAGTCCTTGGAAAAGTCTTGTCTCAGCAGTGAGGCTAAATTAGCCCAAGAGTCAAGGCTGCTGTGGATCCATTATAACTAAACTTAAAAACCAGCTTCGGAAGTATTAAACAGCTGGGAGTAGTTTCACTGCCAGAATAGAGTCCACGATTTGAATCGTTTAGTGAATGTAATGCAGCACAGTAACAGTTTAAGAAAGGAAAGGATCATATCATCTCAGCCGATGCAGAAAAGGCATTTGATAAAATTTAACACCTATTCTTTTTTTTTTTGACAGAGAGAGAGAGAGCGAGCACAAGTAGGGGGAGCAGCAGAGGGAGAGGGAGAAGCAGGCTCCCTGCTCAGTAACACCCATTCTTAATAAGAATTCTCATCAAACAAAGAATAGGAAGAAACGTTGTCAATCTGAAAAGGGACCTCTATAAAAATACCTATAGCTAACCTCCTCCTTAGTGATGAAAGACTAACTGATTTCTCCCTAAGATCAGGAACAAGATGAGGGCATCAATACTCATCACTTTTATTTCACATGATACCAGAGGTCCCAGCTAGTGCAATAAAGAGAAAGAAAAAGAAGAAGAAAGAAAGAAAGAAAGAAAGAAGAAAGAAAGAAAAGAAAGAAAGAAAGAAAGAAAGAAAGAAAGAAAGAAAGAAAGAAAGAAAGAAAAAGAAAGAAAGAAAAAGAAAGAAAAAAAGAAAGAAAGAAAGAAAGAAAAAGAGAAAGAAAGATTGGAAAGGATGGATTCAAATTGTCTTTATTTGAAGATAGCTGATTGTTTTGTAGAAAATCTCATGGAACCTATAAAAAAGGTACTAGAACTCCTGAGCACTCAGGGACCCTGGGGCCCTGAGAAGGAAAGGGATTGCCTAATATTAGGCAGAGGTATTGTCAGATATGAATCTATTAACACAGTCCCCTATCTGTAGGGCCTACATGCTCATTCTCACAACAGCTTCCTGGAGATACTGCTCAAAGTGGCAGAGATTTCAGGCAGCAAGGAAGAGCCAGAGGCATGTTTTAGTGCAAAACAGACCTTTGGTTCCTCTCAACTTCTATAACCAAGAGGGCTTAGGACCCATTCATTTTCTTTTCTAATTACCCTGCCAGTCCCCAAGCCCCTTCCTTTTTTTAAAAAAAGATATTTATTTATTTATTTGAGAGAGAGAGGAGGGGCAGAGGGGGACAGAGAGGCAGAGGGAAAGAATCTCACGCAGACTCTGCGCTGAGCTTGGAGCCCAACGTAGGGCTCGATAATACCAGCCTGAGATCATGACCTGAGCTGAAACCAAGAGTCAGAGGCTTATCCAACTGAACACCCAGGAGTGCCCCCCACCCCGGCCATGTTCCTTCTTATAGGCTCTGGCTAAGTGAGTGCCCACAGCCCCTCTCTTACGCTCATCGACTTGGCCAGTCCCTACTCCCTGTCATCTTTTCAGCCTTGCAATTGTCCTCCCTCCAGATTAACAGTTGAGATTTTAAGATCTGGACCCACCCCGGCCCCGCTTCCTACCAGCCCCATAGGATTCCAAAATCACTGTCCCAAGAGAATCTGAGAATTCAGGATTGGAAGGCAACTTGGAGGTCATTCAGATTAACCTCACATCCCAGCCCAGAAGCCTCTCTACGCTGCCTGACTGGCTCTTCTCAAGTCCTGTCAGCAGTGGGGAGGGAGGGCATTACATCCCATCATATCACAGATCATACCAGAAGATTCTGCATTGCCTCCAGAGGCAATATTCCCTAAAACCTACATCTGGAGCTCTCAGCACCTTTCCTTCGTGCCGGGGAAGTGATACACACTCAGTGTGGCATTTGCTCTTCCCAATTCAAGGGACCGTACCCGGACCACCCCCAGGAGGACAGCAGTGTCCTCAAGAACCTTCAAATGTTGATCACTGTTAGACAACGCAGCACACAAAGTCGTGTTTGCCAGATTGCCGCCAACCACAAAAACCACATCTTCATGACAACCATGACATTCAGCCCTTGCGGGGGAGTGAGAGGGCGGCGCGCGCCGACAGAGGGCCTGGGGACCCAGTGGGAGAGGAGCGGAGAGGAGCAGGGAAGCCCCTCTGCTCCGCGGGGGCCTGTGCTGGGCGTGGTGCAGTCACACAGATGGCAAACCACGCCTGTGGGCAGGGGGCAGCCTCCCTCGCAGCGGCACCCAAGCCCCGTGGCCCTGGGTCACCCCTGCCCACGGCCGTTAGGACAGCTGGCTGGAAAGTGGCGCGCTCACTCAAGAAGAGCCCTTAATCAAGGGCCTCTGCATAGGAAGACGTCCTTTTGTCGGGATTTTAAATAGGCAATTTGGCACATTATCTGCAGGACACAAAAGACGAGAACGTTGCCGTAGAGTTGGGCCTGCACAATGCACCGAGGATAACCGATACCTTCTAAAGGTTTCACATGACCCGGATTCCGCAGTGCTCAGGGAAATGGTATCTTCTAGTTACTTCGGGGTTTTCTCTTTCAAGCATTTATTCTAGTCACAAAGAGCCTCTCCGCATCAGCATCCAATTTCCCCTTTATTCCTCCCTCTTGTGCCTTTTCTTTCTCAAAAAGGCCATGTGTGAGACAGGAAAACGTTCCTTCGGGAATGCAGTTGGGGTTATGCGGCTCCCACAGGGGTGAGGCTCTAAAGCTAAAGATATTAAAGACATTTGCTTAAGAATGTATTTTGACTCTGAGCTGGGCCTGCATGATCATTTTTTCCGCTTTCGGTAAGGAAGGGCGGGGGATGTTCTGTCTCCATACAGTCTGTCTTTTCTCTCCTGACCGATGCCTCTGACAGTTACCTCTTGTCCCACCTTGGCCGTGCCCTGGCTGTGGGGCGTTGGAGGGACAGCACCACCCGATCCCATTCACTGTCGGAGGACCCTCGGCGGGGGGAGGGGGGGCACTTTCTTCCCTGGCCTGACACAGCAGTGCCCGGCAGTGCTGTTACACTGTGCACGGCCCGGCCCCCCCGCACAGTGCGTCCTGTGTGAGTCCTGGCAGGCTTCGAGTCAGCACATTCTGCAGAGAAGAAAGGCCGGATTCTGCTCGCCCGCCTCGTCTGCTAGGAGTGGCTCTCTGCTATTTTCCTTCCCCCGTGGTGCGCACTCAAAACAAACTATCTCACCAGCTTTAGAGTTGGGGGTTGCATTACGTTGCTGGGGTCAACTTCAGCATCTTCACGGCAGGGGGTGAGGGAGGACCGCTTATTTTTGGCAGGACCATCTGTCGCTGACTGAGGCAGGGCAGCAAAAGGGGACCAGGGGGGTGTCACACAAAACCCGGTCCCAAGATTGGGATGAATAAAGAGGAGGGCATTTATTTCTCTTGCATGAGGATTCAATTTTTAGAGAAGACAATGCAGTATTAACCCTTAGTGACAAAGTGAGAGACAGATGGAAAAAAAAAAAAAGCAAATGCTTGGTTTTGAGCCAATAGAATGTCAAACTTCATAGAAGATGTCAGTTGCAAAATTGACCACATTTAAGCCTCTTTAGTTCTTCTCTCTGCGTCTAAGTCGGTGTTTTCAAATGAATACAGGCATTTCAACTTAGCTTTCCTTCTGGGTTAAAACCAAGTTTTGGAAACAATAGCTAATACTAATAGGGCACTCACTATGTGTCAGGCCGTATTCTAAGCCCTATACATATCTCTCATTTAATCTTCTAAATGACCTTATGAGGTTGATACTACTATTGTTCCCATCTTACAGATGAGGAAACTGGCATAGAGTGATTAAGTAACTTGCCCAAGGGCACACAGCTAGTAAGTGGCAGAGCCAGGACCCAGACCATGCCCTCAGGCTCCGGCGCATGCTATTCCACTGTTGTTCTCAGCATTGCCAAGGTCAGAAACCCAGGGTTATCTCCGAT